ATGTACCTGGTGGCCGTTGTCTAGTCCAGTTTAAATACAGATGGGGATGATAGAAGTGTTTCTCTCTGCCTTTAGGACAGTGACAATCATCCCCGACCTCTCCCACTCCACCCCTTCGCCCTAGGAAGTCACTGGCCAATCCTGCTCTACTCCCATCCACAGTGAAGATTATCTGCCTTTGCTTGGGTCTTGCATTGTTTGGGGCCCTCTCTCATTCTCTAACTTATACTTCTAAAATTACTCCCCTCCAAACTATGTTTACAATTGTATGTAATTATATGAATCATCAGATGAGAGGTTAAATTACATAAATTGGATAATGCATAAGGGTTTTCTAGCAACAACAGGTTATAACAAGTACTGTGATTACAATAGTGTTACATGAAAAGGCTAGATCCTAGCCCCAATCCTATGTGTTAACCTCATATTCAAAATCGATAAAATTCAATACCAAGGAAATATTTAATTATTTCTTTAGTATCTATTTTAAATGTTCTTCATATTTATTATTTAAAATTAGATTCTGGAAAAAAAATTATCCTTTCTTCCTTCTCACAAAGACAAAACAAAACAGTAAATTTAAAAACAAAAAAACCCAGCAAGAATACAATCACTGCCAGAATTCTCATACAGGACTAGTGAGTACCTGACATGGTTTCCTATCGATGGGCGGCAGAACTTCGGACCGAGGAAAGGACCGGGCACTGGTACAAGCCAGCCAGTCGCTAAGGCTGACGGAGTGCGTCTGCTTAACTTCAGGTCTTCGGTGCGTTAAAGGCTTTGCCTTCTGTAACCTCAGCTCCCACGGGTCAGGGTCTTTCCTGAATGGTGAGTTGTATATACCTGGAATCTAAGGAAAAGCAACATAATTCTAATTTTTATCTTCAGTGTTCACCTGAGACCAAGGGAAGATAAAGTTGTACTATAGAAATTTTCGTATGTTGAAGGACTGCAAGTTTTTTTTTTAACTACAACATGTACAACATGTACAACACTGGACTAAACATACAATACGTTTAAGGACTGCACTTTGTTTTTAAAGTGCAACTCTCATTCTTAACTAGAGGTAGATAGACTTCAGATTTGCCCAAGGAGATTATGGAATACTCACACTGTGTCTCCACTTCAGACCAACGGTTTCAGAATCATTCATAGTTGAAGACTAAACATGTTAAAAAATGTGGAGCTGTAGTTTCCATTTGCCACACACGTTTATATAACTATATGTAACAGTTTTATATAACTAAACTGTATTTAAGAAGAAAAAACCCAGAATGACCTTAAGGTATTCATTTTGTATTCTAACCATTAACTGTGTATATGCATGCTTAACCATATCTGTGAGTCATGCATTCACTCATACAAACTCAAACGTTTGAACCAGTTGCAGGTACAAAGTAAGAATTTTTAAATATTTGATTATTTGAATGAATATTCATTATACAACAAATGGCAGCCACTTTAAGTTCTTTACTTTATAATAATAAACTGGTATATATACACACACACACATCTATACATACATACATGTGTATATATGTGTGTGTGTGTGTGTGTGTATAAAATCATTCAAAATAACATCCTATATTTAATGAGTTGCATTCATGTGGTTAGGTTGGGTACTTCTATAGTGTCACATTCCCTTTGCTGTTCTATCATTGACCTTATCACACATTGCATCAAAATAGTCAAGACTTATTTAACCAGTGCCTGCTGTGCAGTAGGGGTTCAATAGATGTGTGTATGATAAATTCATGATAAATACATTCAAGTTTCGCGTATTCCATTTTCTGAAACATTCAATGGTGTTTGAGTATATAAACTGCATTGAACTATTTTTTGTGCTTTAATATATACAAACACATATTCATGAAGAAAAGTTATATTTTAAAGGACAGTATGATTTGTTTGGTTGCTCTGCAGACGTTCTAATGTAAGGAATGTATCCATTAAACCCGTCTTTCCTAAAAATGTGCTTTTTTCTTCTGCCACCATCATATCCATAAGTATTTCTGGCTGTTATATTTACTTCACGGAATAAGGAGTTCCAAAGTATTATGATTAACTACGATAGGTGTCTTGGAAAACCTACCCTAGAAAAATTTTCTATTTCCAGTCTACCAGCTCAGTAAGTAGGAAGCTCCATCTAATAGCCAGCTGAGACTAGATTCTGTGTCTGA